ATATTAAGATTAAATATTTGAATTAAATATTAAACTCTTGAAGAAATGTAAAAGACTTCGAATGATGAGGCCTTCGAGTAGGCTGGGTTATTTGAGTGTTTGGGACTTAGAGAAAATTTCCTAATATTGAGGATACTACCTTCGACTGAGGATGTTGGTTGAGTATTAGTGGAGTTTTTGAAATTCAAATAAAGGAGGGAGTAGTTATGCTTTCTCATGACTAAGAAAGACAAGTGGCGCTCATCTAACAAAGCGACTACATGTAATACGACACTTGTCATAGGCTGGTGATTTTAGGAGGTTAATGGTAGTTAGTTTTACTATTATAAATAAGAGCTCTAAGCCATAGAATTTAGTGTGTTGTAATTTATTATTTGTACAAGTCACTCCCAAAATTACTCAAAGTATCAGAGTGTAGAGAAACCAATTCTAGGAGAATGTACGTCATGTAAACACATCATCTTTACTTTCAGTGAAACTTATTTTACTTGTTTAATCTTAAAGAGTTTATCTTTATTTTCTTGCCATTTACATCTTCCCTGCATTTTGCTTTACTTTGTTAAATACTTTTAAAATTTCTTTACTTTGTCTTTCTACAAATTTACATCCTTTCGTCGAGCCTTGCATTTATGTTAAAACCTTCCCTCAAAACACTGTCGAAGTGTGTAGTTTAGATAACTTATTTCACATAAAATTTAGCACATGTCCTAGGATCAATCTGATCGATCATGTGAGTCATCAAAGTTAGATTTGGAAGATCAACGATTTTTTTCCAATTTTCACGGGAAACAATCACACAAAAAAACAGCAAAGAGGTGCCACAATGATGACTACATTAACAAAAGTCTGCAATTCGGGTGTCACACTTTCGGTCGATTTTAATTTCATTCATACTATTCTTGACGGTCCTCATTCTTCGTTGTTTAAGATTTATGTTGCATTCCTTGGACGTAGCAAAGTCAGCATATTGTTTGATGATTGGAAGGATGTGCCACATGAGGTGAAAAAAGCATATGTCAGACGTTCAAGTATTAATTTTGATTTTTATCGATTCAATATTACGTTATATAAACACTAATACATACTTACTATTTTAAATGTGTAGTTGACGTTTGAGTTTAGCGATGATTCAGAGTTGAAAAAAAATGGATCACTTATGCTAGTACGACTTAGAGGAGTTTTAAGTCACGACTCACAAGTGACTATATTACGAAGCCAAAGTCTAATATTGAGTGCATGTGGGTAAAATATTTGTATCTTGACCAAAAGGTTTGGAAAAAATTTGTAAAGTATCATAGTAGTGAGGAGTTCGTGGTTAGTACCAATTGTATTTTTTGATAATTTTATGGGTACAACCATGGACGTTAAGATTTTTCTTATGTATATAACAGGTCAAAAGTGAAGCGGGAAAGCTAAACAAGTCCAAAAACAAATACCCCCACAGATTGTCTCTTGCTAGTAGGTATTCATCAACAGTTTCCTCAGCCTCTTCAGCATCTTGCTCTTCTTCTTCGACTTCATCTGGGTTATGCACTCCAGCATCACTATGCTCCACCTTAATAGGCATCTCTACCTGTTCCAGCTTCTCTTCAGAGATTTCTGCACTTCGACCAGCATCACCAATTTTCTTGAACGCCATCTCGACTTCATTGAAAACTACATCATGACTTGTGATACATCTTCTGTGACCTAGTTCTAGGCACCACAGCCTATAACCTTTGACTCCCTCAGGATATCCAAGGAACATGCATCTCGGAGCTCTAGGTTTGACCTTGTCTTGCCTAATGTGAGCATAGGCTAAACAGCCAAATACTTTCAGCTTGTCGAGAACTGGTGGCTGACCCAACCAAACTTCTTCAGGTGTCTTCATCCTCAAAGTAGTCGAGGGACATCTATTTATCATATAAGTTGTTGTCGAAACAGCCTCCGCCCAAAACACCTTCTTCAATCTAGCACTAACCAACATACATCTAACCCTTTCAAGGATTGTTCGACTAAATCTCTTAGCTAAGCCATTTTGTTGAGGAGTACCTGCTACAGTCTTATGCCTTGCAATCCTAGACTCAACACAATAGCTGTCAAACGCTTCGTTACAGAACTCAAGGTCATTGTCGGTTCTCAACCTCTTGACCTTTCTGCCATTTTGAGTTTCGACCAAAACCTTCCAACTTTTGAAATTCTCAAAAGTTTCATCCTTCATCTTCTGAATGAATACCCATAACTTTCTGGAATAGTCATCAATGATGGATAGAAAATAACTTGCACCTAAGTGTGTAGGATTCCTTGCAGGCCCCCAAAGATCAGCATGTATGTAATCAAGGGATCCATGTGTTCTTTGTTTTCCTTTGTTAAACTTCGCCCTACAGGATTTACCAACAAGATTCAAAAAACTCCAACTTTTCGACTTTGTCACCACCTAGTAGGTTCTGCTTCCCCAATTCGACCAGGTCTCTCTCACTGACATGGTCCAATCTCATGTACCATAGTTCTGTCTTCGACACAGGTTTTGTGGATGCGATATTTGTCGAACTACTTACAACCTCAGCCTCAAGGGTATACAAGTCTTGTTTCTTCACGCCTCTCAAGACTTCCTTCGACCCCTTCATGACTTTCAGGATACCTTGCTCTCCTTTGAAAACATATCCTTTCTTTTCGAATTCACCAAGAGAAATTAAATTCCTCTTAAGGTTAGGTACATTCCTAACCCCAGTCAATAGCCTTATTGACTCATCATGGAGCTTGAATCTTACAGATCCAATACCTGCAATCTTGCAAGCTTTATTGTTTCCCAACAACAATGATCCACCATCTTGATCACATAATTCTTCAAACACATTCTTGTTTGGAGTCATATGTTAAGTACATCCAGAATCTGTAATCCACTCTTTGCAAGAGTTGTTGCTTGACACCACAAGGACATCAGATGATTCATAATCATCTTGCACAATAGTTGCATTTCCATTGTCCTTACCTCCATGATTGTTCAGGCACTCAGGGCACACCTTTCTTGTGTGACCCTTTTTCTTATAGTGATAACACTTAATTCCAGAAATATCACCACCATAAGACTTCTATTTAGTTTTACCTTTCTTCTTCTCAAATCTACCATCTTTCTTTGACAACTTTCGCTTTACAGATAACCCTTCGCCAACTGACGATGATGGTTTCTGCTCCTTTCTTTCATTTAAATCCTTCAAATACAAGGCTACTTGGACTTCTTCAAAGGTCGGGGACTTTATTCCATACAAGAGGGTTTCTTTGAAGTGAGCATGCAATTTAGGTAAAGAACACAACAATAACAACGCTTGATCTTCATCATTGATGGTAACATCAATATTTTCAAGATCAAGAATCAGCTTGCTGAATGTATCCAGCTGCTCCATTAATGTTTTATCTTCAGTCATCTTGAATGAATACAAATCCTACTTCAAGTACAAATGATTTACCAAGGATTTTGTCATATACAATCCTTCGAGTTTCAGCCAAACACCCGCTACCCTCGTCTCTTTCAAAACCTGCCTGAGAACCTTATCACCAAGACTCAGAACAATTGTGTTATGGGCTTTATCGACCATCGTTGTCTTTTCCTTCTCCGCCAGTGCAGCATCCATTGCATATTCTCCCTTTAACGCTTCTAGCAAACCCTGTTGAACAAGAAGGGCTCGTATCTTCAAACGCCATAAACCGAAATCATTAACTTCGGTGAACTTCTCAATTTTAAACTTTGTTGACGACATCTTCTCCACGCTCACCGCACCAGTTTGTTGTGATCACAAACAATACCTTTCAACAAATCAAGATTGAGAAACGGAGTTCTTAGGTGAACAATGAAATCAGTTAGAACAAAGAGAAAAAAGAAGAAAGGATAAAGAAGAAAAAGAAGAATTAGGGAAAATTGTTTACTATTCACTTTTTCACAAGGGTTTACAAATGATTACATATGAATATCACAATTGGCCCCACTCAACAACCTGGGTGATCTACCCAATATATACACTAACTAGATAACTTGCAATCCAAACTAACTAAACAATTGGATCCATAACAAAAGACTCAATTCGACAAACATTTCGACAATACATATAGAACAGACTTCGACTACAATATATATCATTTGACCATAGCATGCGATCCATCTTCAACTTCTTGCTTGTCTTCTGTCGAAATACATGAAAGTTATTTCTCAACAAAACTTGAGTTCGACCCAAAATCTCACAATGAACATATTCCACTTCAAACATATTCCACTTCAAGTAGAATTTCCATTAAACTTCAATTTTAATCCCTCCCGTGATACTCCAAATCAATTTAAACAACCATCCAACAACCAAACCTGACCCATCAATATATTTAACTCTCCTAATGGACCTGAGTCAAGTTTTCCTTATGACTCCTCAACTTCTTATGATGGATAACTTCGGAAGTTCTTTGTTCCAACATAAGTATAAACCTAGATCCAACTCACTTTTTACATTACCCCTTTTTCACCTCATTTCCCGAACCTTATGGAAAAATATATGATTACTTCAGATGTGTTTGAATATTTGGAACCTGAGCTTGCATCACAGGAAGCACATGTTTCCCCTCCTATAAAACAATCCCCACCATTTTGTTCACAAAATATCAACCACCACCTCATCGTGCAACAAAGATGAATATTCTTGAATCTTCCATCAGTTAAACTTTTTCTTCACTCATTACCACCACCCCTTTTCCCTAACCTTTAGGAATTTTTAACTAAAGTTATTAATAAAGTTAAAAGTTTGAGACATAAAATCAAATCAGTTGTAAGTCCAAAAAAGTATATGCACAATGGTTTAATCTGAAAAGGCTTTCTAATTTTTCTCCCACCACATGTCTTATGCAAGGGGATCTCTTATCATAATAAATAATTTTTCCATTTTATTCTCTCATTCTACAATCATGTTCATTTACACAAAGTAGTAACCTAATACTATCACATTACCAAAACACATCAAGATCAAACAGCGAATACAATTTCATTCAAGATTCGTGTGGCGAGATCGAATAGCTTCAGGACTCTCATCTAAAACCTCCCCCAACTTGTACACAACCATCTCAAACAATACATACAGTGCACCTTCATACACACTTCCCATCGGAAGCAACGGTCTAGATTTCACATTCCCCTCGTCCGCATCATTCGCCATGGTCTGCGCAGGCACGTAAGCCACCACACTAGCATGCTTCACACACGAACCCGTCTCGGGTTGGGCCGTCAGAAGTAGCACTCTTCCGCCTTTAGACCGTGCCACCGAGCATAAGGCGTCGACGGTGGAGAAGCCTCCTGGACCGGCGGAGGCGATGAGGAGATCTCCGGAAGTGATTGGCGGAGTGGTCATATCGAAGACTAGATGAGCCGAGAGGCCGAGATGGGCGAGACGCATGCAGAGGGCTTTGAGCATTATGCCCTCACGGCCAACTCCGTAGAGGAAAACGCGGGTTTTTTGTGTGGCGATGGTGGAGAGCTCGGTGACCAAGAGGTCGAGAGGGGGTGGGTATGGATGAGTGGAGTTTGAAAATATGGAGGCTATTTGGTTGCAGATTTGTGTCGCCATTGAAGCCATGTCTTGAGAAGTACAATTTGAAGAAGCCATCACTCTCTTGGATAACTATGTTTTCCTCTTTTTATCCCTTTCTATCCAAATACGAGGGTCACCAAAAATTGTTTAGATCACTGTGTTTTTCTATTTTTTTATCCCTTTCCATAAATGAGGGCCACAAAGAATTTGTTTTGATCTCTATGTTTTTCTATTTTGAACTCTTTCTCTCGATATACGAGAGCCACAAAAAATTGTTTGATTACTTTGTTTTTCTATTTTTATCCCTTTCTGTCCACCACAAATATTTGTTTTATTTTCGTGCTTTAGTTTACAAAATACATGGATTTACAATGTTTTGAATAAGATAAACTAACACAAAAAATAAAACTTCAAAACTAGATTATTTGATCTTGTTTCGAAAAGGAACTTTTGCCTCTGTCCTATAATTAGTAGATTCAATTGTCTTTTTACATAGATTAAAAATAAAAAATAAAAGAAGGAGAGAATGATATTTTACTAAAGTGTTCTTATCATCTATGGAAAAAAATAAAAGTAATATTAATTAGAAGGTAAAATTAGAAAATGTGTATTAAAAATTAAAATGAGTCATTTTAGAACACTCTTTTATTCCAAATGAATCACTCATTATAGGACGGAGAGAGTAAAAAGTTACCATGAAGTGATGGAAAATAAATTTTTTGACAGGTAGATTATGAGAGAATAGTTGACTTCAATCAATAATAAATAGGGAAATAAATTGTGGTATTTAAAATTCGCAGTTAATGTTAAAAATTCTATTACTTAAATAATGAATTTTGTCAATATCCTTTAAAATCATAATAAAATGAGCAGCGAAAAATAAAAACGTCAAAAAAGTAAATTGCAGAAATAAAAAGATAAGAAATTAGAGAAATTGCATCAGAGGTTTATCTAGGTTCGGTCAAACATTGACCTACTTCTCTCTTCAAGAGATTTTTTTGAAATTTTAACTATGAATTTGAGCTTTTACAAGTTATGTTCACAAACCTTCAATACAATCAAATCTAGAGATATTACAATTTCATATCCTCAACCAAAGAGAAATATTTTACCCAAGTTAAGCTAATGAACCAATTGGAGATTTTCCACGCTAATCTGATCAATAAACAAGCAGAACTTTTCCAAGCTAAATTCTAAAATCAAACAGATATTTTAAGACTTGTTAATATCAAGAACCAAACTCCATTTTTCAAGAACATTGCACTGTCGAGAGTAATAACAACAACATGATGTCAATAAAATTTCCTCACAAGTAGATTTTCACTCGAAGGCACTAAGGCAACTTAGGTGAAGAAAAAAATATTTTAAAGAGAGAGGGAAGAGAAGAGATCAATTCTAAAGAAATAGAAAACTTTGAGATTTTGGTGTAAATGAGAGGAGAGATGTAACACCCCGTTCCCAAAATAAAATCCAGGTTAACAGAAAACAAGCAACTCTATCCTATAGACAGACTCAACACACTATACTGGCCGGACGGACCGACCTGCTCTGATACCAACTTGTAACACCCCGTTCCCAAAATAAAATAAAACAATCAAATAAAACACATATCAGAGTTTCCCTCCCAAACGAGATGCCACAATACACATCAAAATTTCCCACAAATATTTTTCCAATAAAATTGCAGCGGAAAAAGATATGGTCTGTCATAACACAAAATATCATATATATACACCATCCATATCCATCATCATCATATATACAATAACGGCCATCTGCCCCAAAATACATAACATCATCACCGAACATCACCAAATATCTCACAAAAATAACAGATACGCCACGGGGGCACACATATCAATAATACATAATAATACTCCCAAAAACGCTCCGGTGTTACGTATCAGAGCAGTCCTATGGAGACACCACAATCCAACTAGCTAAACACCTGGATTGTTTGTACTTCCGAAGAAGCACACACCACAACAACAACAAAGGGGTGAGAATCACGATTAAATAATAATGGTATAGTGGTACATGAAATAAAAGGCAGAAATAATAAATCATTATTTCACATACAACATATCTAGACCTACTGTCCAAGCCAACACATTATGCATACTACAAATGCAACACATTCGGGCCTACTATCCCATCATCAATATCCACAATTCACACAAACCACAATGCAACACATGCACTCACACAACTCTCATCATGCGGTACCGACTCACAATCACGATGGGCACCTGGCCATCAACCCTCCACACAGGAGCACATATCAACGATGGGCACTTGGCCATCAACCCTCCACTCAGGGAGCACACCACACCGATGGGCAACTGGCCATCAACCCTCCACAATGGGAGCACCACAACAATACCGATGGACACCTGGCCATCACCCTCCACAACGGGAGCACATCTCCGATGGACACCTGGCCATCACCTTCCTCGCCGGGAGCACAACACATTGACGATGGACAACTGGCCATCACCCTCCTCACAGGGAGCACACTGACAATACCGATGGTCATTGGGCCATCACCCTCCTCTACGGGAGCACACAACCATGTTCACAAACATCATACATCTAGCACACCAAGTGCAAACCGATCCTATTGATCCACCCCTCACACAGTATATATATACACGACGCACAAGGCGTACCGATCCCACGGATCCATTCCCATCACAAAATACATACATAGCAAGCACACAAAGTGCGTCGATCCCACGGATCCGCTCACCACACAACTTATCACATACAATGCACACAAGGCATGTCGGTCCTACTGACCCAAATACATCACATAACAGCATACAAATGCAACGCATAATAAGTGTACTGATCCTTACGGACCCACTCACCACAACACACTAACAAAACGCACTCAAGGCGCAACGATCATGCTGATCCTCATATCTCACACGCAGCATACACACGGTGCACCCATCTCACGTACACATCCATACCGGTTCATACATAATGCATAATTCAACGATTATGCCACTTGCGACAAACGCCGGCCAAACAGCCCTACAACCACCCACATACGCTTGCATCAGCATCTCTAGCAAGTCTCTCGTCGCTCATGACCAACAAGGGTCCAATTCCACAGAGGAACAACACAAGACAGTAGCAAAAACACAAACTGCTGTCGGGCTCGCTGGCGCATTCGCCAGGCGAATCCCCGCAGCAAACACTCGCTGCAATTCACTTGGCGAAACCTCTGGCGAAGCCAGACAGAAGCTTCTGCCAGCACTCGCTGGCTAGTTCGCCCGACGAAGCCTGGCGAAGGCTCGCCCCTCATTCGCCCAGTGAATACCTGCGCACACAGAAAAATTCCGCATTGCAGAATCGCCTCCCTCACCGATTTCACACGATTAAATCGAAACCCACAACCAACAATATAGTACAACTGAACTACGGGTCTATTTCCCGATTCTATCCGATAAAACACATCATCTGCTCAATTTACCGACTTCCGGCATAACTCCGAAACTACTCAAAACCCAAAATTCATTCAACCCAATATTCTCAGCGCATGCAAACGAATTTAACATAATCTAACAATTTAATCTCAGCAATAATCACATGCATTCATCATCAAACAATAATAATCAATGGGGTTGGGGATTTTCCCCTGTTTCTACCAATTTCATGCAAAAACCAATTAACCGTAAAATTTTCCCCCCTCCCCTTACCTCAAATTTCGATGCTGATGATGATGCACTTCCGAAATTCCACTCGGATTGACAGCCTTGGGGTCTCCTTGCCACGCTTTGCTCAAACTCTCTTCCTCTGTTCTTCGTTCTCTCCACCGTGTTCTTTCTCTCCTTCCTTTTCAATTGCCAATAATGCCCTCTATTCCAATAATTCCATTATTAATCCAAATAATGATATTCCTCACAATTTCTTTTTATTTCAAAAAGTCCAATTAATAATAAACTTTATTCCAATAATATTATTAATATGATTTATAATTAATAATAATATTAATATTAGTAACACTTTACTAATTATCATATTATCATCATTATTAATCATATTTCGAATATTATGGAACTTGCTCCACAACCCGAAAATCCACGCAAACACGTACTAAGAATGAAAATAACACCGAAAAATGAAATTAGTTAAAATAGGCGTTACAACTCTCCCCCACTTTAATTATTTTCGTCCTCGAAAATACCTGATGGAAACAGCTCTTGATACGCTTCCCGCATCCTGCTTTCCAATTCCCAGGTCACACTGCCACTTGCAGCACCTCCCCAAGCCACTCTCACCAATGGTATCTCTATTCCTCTAAGTCGCTTCATCTTGCGATCCTCGATCCTCAACGGAAATGTCTCCACAGTTAGATTCTCTCTAACTTGGACTTCATCCCTCTGAATCACGTGAGACGGATCGTGCACATACTTCCGAAGTTGCGACACGTTAAACACGTCATGCAAGTTCGAAAGCTCCGGCGGCAATGCCACCCTATAAGCCACAGCACCAATCCTCTGCAAGATCGGATACGGTCTGATAAACTTCAGATCCAACTTCTTGGACTTCAAAGCACGTCCAACACCTGTCACTGGGTTAACCCTCAAGAATACATGGTCACCCTCACTGAATTCCAACTCTTTCCTGCGGTTATCATAATAACTCTTCTGCCGATCCTGAGATGCTCTCATCTTTTCACGGATCATTTGCACTGTCTCAGTAGTCTGCTGCACCACTCTGGTCCCAAAACCACACTCTCACCTGACTCATACCAACACAAAGGAGTCCTGCACCTCCTACCATAAAGAGCCTCAAACGGTGCCATCCCGATACTGGAATGGTAACTGTTGTTGTACGTGAACTCTACCAAAGGCAATTGAGTATCCCACGTACCACCTTTCTCCAACACACAAGCTCGCAACAAATCCTCCAAAGTCTGAATAGTCCGCTCCGACTGCCCATCCGTCTGCGGATGATAAGCCGAACTCAGCTTCAACTCAGTACCCAAAGCCTCTTGTAAACTCTTCCAAAACACAGAAGTGAACCTCAGATCTCTATCCGACACAATGCTCAACGGTATACCG